CCTGTATTGTCTGTCGGAAGCAAGCAGCGAGCAGTAAACATAACCTAAATTTTAGAGGGTCTTCAGAGAGACCGAGGGGGGGCACAATGCTTGGGAGGCGGGCTGTGGGGCACACGGCGATGAGAAACCCTCCGCGCTAGTAAAGATACTGGGTGTGCATGACGACAACAAATAGTTCGGCTGCAAAAGGGCAAGAAAATAGTTCTGGGGAAAGGAAAGCCTTCTTGCAGCAATAAGCTTCCTGTTCTGAAAACTGCGCTCAATGTTTGTGCTTGCTGATACAGTAGGAGGCAGGGTGGGTTCAGAAGGAGCGATCCATCCTCGCAAAGGGATGCAAAATGTCGTGTTTGGTGGCCAGAGACGGGCAGATCTCTTTAGGTCCGGAGCTCAAGCTGAGAGGTGGAAAAAAATACCTCCCTGCAACTTCTCAATCTCTGCGACTAAAAAGAGAACGTCACAGAGCAAAGGAAAGAATCTCGGTAATTGATATTAAAAATCGATCTAAATTTTTCTGCGCCCAGATGAGCACAGCCCTTCGAGAAGTTCAGGTCTCCAAAATAACGCAGTGAGATTCAACGCAACAAACAAGGCAGAATCACCTTGCCTCGGGTCCGGTTTACCTCTGCCCTTTCTCGTTTCACATAGTCTGCAGTTTCCTACGCAAAATCACAACCATACAGCTCGGGTTCGGGACACAAATAGCTGCTCTGTGTCACAGCATGGGGCTTCCTTCTCGCCGCTATCAAAAATTACTTCAGATTATGGGATAAACCAGTATTTGAAAAATCGTATCGAAGTGTTGTAGCACTTCCCTCCATCACGGCGTTAAAGAGAATTTAGGCTTTTGGTGGTGGTGTTTTGGTTTGACTTTAACAGAAGGATACGCGCTTTCCCTAACGGACAAAAGGCAAACAGAAAAGAACAAGCGCCTGTTAAGACCTTCTGAGCTCGAAATACTTTAAATCCAAACAATAACCACGCTTTTCTGAAGCTGCATTCCTGGCCAATTTTGAGAAGAATTATCGCCTTCTGGCATTATTTTCATTGGAATAGAGGGAAGGTGGCGAGAGAGCCGTGAATTCCCTCATCCTACATTTTTCTAATAAGACTTCGTAGGCTGTCATCAGCCTGCACGCTTACAAAGCGCCTACGAGAAGAGCCTACGAGATTCAAACCGGCAATCGGGAATATTTCAATTAGCTCTACCCGACAACGAATGCCTTTTAGCACACGTTGCTGCTGTTAATTGCAGGCACCCACCCTACCAGCAAAGGTAAACGCTCGGCTTACCGCATTTTTAAAACAAAACAGAGCCGAGGGGGGAAAAAAAAAAAAAAAAACAAAGGAAAAAAAAAAAGGGGGGGGGGGGAAAGGAAAAGGAAAGAAAGAGGTAAAAAAGAAAAAAGAAAGAAAGAGAGAAAAAAAAAAAAAGACAACAATTTGGATACTATAGAACTTGACCTTTCGGAGAACAGCGGCAGTAAGTTAAACAGTCCCCTTTGCACGCGATGTGTATACATAGAGCCGCGCTATCGAGGCGTCCCGGCTCTGTTTATATTCCTCCAAAGAAGAGCTGTAGCTTTCCCCCGCTTTGTTTAGCTTAGCTAACCGGGTGACCGTGCTCCCAGCCTCTCTGCCTCTTGGCCACGTCCGTCCTTTGCAAAACGTTCTGCAGCAGCAGAGCTGCAAAACTCGCAGCGTTTTGAGTCTCCCTAATCCGGCTGAAATACTCGGGGAGGCGGAACGAATGCATTTTGCTTCTCCAAACGCAATGCCTCCCTTTGTTGATGTTGTTTTCGTCGGGCTTAGGAAAGGGAAGGCTCGATTTTCCCCCTTCCTCGACACGGAAGTCCCAATTACTGTATTAAAAGAGCAATTCAACGTTGGACCAAATAATCGACATTGATAATTGTGCTGAGCGCAGCAACCTAACAGCAGGCTCCCTGCAATTACCCACACATTCCGAGGCTTTAAGCGAACATTATCTCTGTTTCACTTAACAGCAAATAAAGCAGAGAACAGTCCATGCCGGGCGTGTTTTCTCGCTCCCTGCCTTCCCCGGAACTCTCCCGATGGCTGGGAAAGGCGTTTTGGGGTCCCCCCGCCTTGAAAAGTGGATGAAACCAATATGCTGCTTGAGGGGGTGTCGGGTTTTTATTATTATTCTTATTTTTACTTTTGGGAGCGAGCAGCGGGGAGGAGCAGTCTCAAAGTAGGCATCGGGGCCGCACGTGTGCGCGCTGTGCCCGCGCACACACACGCCCGGTTCGCAGAGGGTGGCCGGGCTGCAGCCTCCCCCGGTACCCCCCACCCCCCCAACGCCTCCCCCTTGCCTCGATTTCCCTTTGTGTGCAGGAGCTGCCCCCACCTCGGGCACGTACAGCCTTGTGCCAGCTCTGCCCCGGCTCTGCCACGGGGTGAACGTGGGGGGGGGGGGGAGGGGGGGTGCCGCAGCCGGGCCAAGTAGGTGGCGTCCCGGGGCCGGGCAGCCCTGTCGTGTCTGCTCTGACACAAGCTGAAGTTGACTGCCAAAGTGCTATAAAACCGCAGGTCAGTCTAGAACTGTTTTCGGTTCTCCTAGACGCGCCGCGTTCAATTATAGCCTTAAAAGCCGTAATACAAGTGCAAGAATTTGTTTGCCATCACCCAGAGGCGGGGCGAGGCTCTGCAATGGTGGCGCCTTTGTTATCTCAAAGTCACCGAAATCCCAACGCTGCCTCTCTGTGCGCGGGGAGGGGCGGCAGTGCGGGGGGACGGGGGGGGGCACTGTCCGTGCCGGGTGCCCAAAGAGGGCTCCCACCCCTCGACCCCCCGCCTTCCTAGCCGAAGAACCGGGATAGAAATGAGATGCGTTAAAGAAAAGCCAACCAGAGCTCTTGCACCCCCCCACCCCAAGTTAGAGGAGGGGGGAGAGAGGGAGAGGGAGAATCCCCAAGCGTTTTTACAATCCCCAAACGACAACGCAGTCTTCTGCTAGCGGTTTTGACGACATGCGATCCCTTTCCATCCACTTTCTAGCAAACACGTCAAGCCTGAAGATTAATTCACTAATTTCAAGTTCAGCTCGCAGACACGCAGCGAGCATAAGAAGTTCTTGCAGCAAACCAAAATAAAGAGTTCATTACGGGGATACGTCCGGAGCGTTTGATTTGTGAACGGTAACCCTTGTAAAATAAGAAAACGGCATATAAACATTAATGCTAATAAATTAGTTTACTCCACTACAAAGTAATTACTTGATAATATTGAATTTACAGCTCGAATTCAAATGCATCGGTTAACTATAACGTAGAGAAAATACATAATGAGAATTTTTTTTTTGCAAGCAAATGATTAGATTTGTTATCGAGTCGGTTATGATAAGCTGAGCAATAAATAAACAAATCGATGTTGATATTTAAATACCGAAGATCTCCAGAATTTACTATAGAACTTTCTCCGGATATATAAATACTTCCACAACGCTGCAGAGGAAAAAGGGGAGGGGGGCCGGAATCCAAATATTATTTCTCCAGCATTTCGGTCTCCTTTCCATCAGTCTCCCCTGTCCACTGGGGCACAGACCTCGAGCTCCATCTGATTTCATCAGAGCACCGACACCACAACAGCCTTTTGCCGCTCTATTTTTCTGTTATGATTAAATCCAGCCGGAACTCAAATGTTTCTTTTCTGAAATCGAGCATCAGAACAGCAAAAAAAAAAAACCTTTTATTATTTTTCCCAACAGCCGAGGGATGTCCATGCCTCAAAAGGTGCTGTATTCTTTGGCGTATTTCTCTGTTTTCTTTGGCTGCGCTCGTTCGGTGGGGTGTGCATTTTTTATTGGCAGAGAAGTACTTTTTAGTGTCTGCCCTGTACAATCCGCTTTCTATATCATCCCTTTCATGCAACAATAGTAAAAATTTAACCACGTTTTTAAAATAGGTCTCCCCGGGTCTCAGCCTTCGGCGACGGTACCAGGCAGAAAGGAAAGGATCTCGGGACGGCGAGTTTGTTCCTAGGGGTTAACAGTATGTCAAATAATTTTAACTGGGCTTCTGGCAATTAAAGCCGGAGTATTTGTCGAAGCGGGGCAGCCCTACATCCACCGGTTTTCCGAGCGGTTAGAGGCGGTGCGGACGCGAAGAGATCAGCAAACACTTTTTAGCCTTGTGCTCTGCAGTTTAAAAGGCTTTTCTGGCGTGGCAAATAGGCAGGGGATGGTTCGGGGAGGCGGGGGTGGCGGTGAGGAAAGCGAACCTGCGTTCTGGGAATCCAATACTGCTAAGTACCTCTGGTGAGGCTTGGCTGGAGCCGCACGGGGTATTTGAGGTTAATATGTAAGGGAGGGAAGGAAGACACTAAGCGCTTCGGAAGTGAACATGAATGCAAGCATGTAATCTATTCACCATGAAAATCAGTGCAGACTTGACCCAGGCACATTCTTGCTAGGAAGGTTTCCAGCAAAACCCTACAGGGCGAGGGGGCTTTAAATATATATATAATTTTTTTTGTGGGGGGGAGTGGGGGGTGGGGAGGTGGGGGGCATGGGGTGAACCTGAAGACCCAACCAAGGCAAATGTACAAAAAAAATAAATAAATAAGGAAAACAATAAAAGGGGAGGAAGCCATCAACCCTAAACTGACCGCTTTCCCAAAGAGCGCTTCCTGCTAGGAAGCAGCTTTCTAGAAGGAGTCGTTGCTTCATTTCTCCTGCTCCCTTCCTTTCGGAGCCTGCCAACGAGCCGCCACACATCCCAGCAAGCGAACAAACAAACAGAGAGCTCTCACCTAGCCCTGTGGGCATTGCTAAGTGCTGCAGAGCCAGGGGGTGCGAGGGGCCGGGCGCTAAGTGTGGGGCAGTGCCGAGCGGTGCCTTTGTATCCTGCACTGTACCGGGGCCAACCTGCGCGCTGCTGCGCGGTGCTGCGCTGGGCTGGGAGGGCGGCGGGGGCGGGCGGCGCGGGGCCGTGCGGTGCGGGTGCGGGGCCGCGCGGTGCGGGTGCGGTGCTGTGCGGGGCCGTGCGGTGCGGGGCCGCGCCGCGCCGCGCCGATCTGTTGCTTCCCCCGAGATGGCTACAAAGAGGCGCGGGCCCGCAGCCGCCGCTTGTCAATTTGCACGGCGCGTCACGTGGCCGCACCTCCCCGCCGAGGCCGGAGGCTCTCCACGTCAGCTTACGTCTCCCAATTTCTTACTTCACGGATCTGCTTCAAAGGGGCAGCTGCGCTAGAGAATCATGTTAAGCTCAGCTAATGCGGAGAAGCCGAGGTAGCCCTAATGATGGATTTTGATGAGCGTGTTCCTTGTTCCTCTAACATGTATTTGCCAAGTTGTACGTACTACGTCTCGGGTCCTGATTTCTCCAGCCTCCCTTCTTTTCTGCCCCAGACCCCGTCTTCTCGCCCTATGACATACTCCTACTCCTCCAACCTGCCCCAGGTCCAACCCGTGAGAGAAGTGACCTTCAGGGAATATGCCATTGATCCCTCCAGTAAATGGCACCCCCGGAACAACCTGCCCCACTGCTACTCCGCAGAGGAGATCATGCACAGAGACTGCTTGCCTTCCACCACCACCGCCAGCATGGGCGAGGTGTTCGGCAAAAGCACCGCGAACGTCTACCACCACCCCAGCGCCAACGTCTCCTCCAATTTCTATAGCACGGTGGGCAGGAACGGGGTCCTGCCGCAGGCTTTCGACCAGTTTTTCGAGACGGCGTACGGCACGGCGGAGAACCCGTCCTCCGCGGACTATCCGCCGGACAAGAGCGGCGAGAAGGCGCCCACGGCCGCCGGGGCGACGGCGGCAACTTCAAGTTCGGAGGGCGGCTGCGGCGGGGCGGCGGCGGCGGGGAAGGAGAGGCGGAGGCGGCCGGAGAGCGGCAGCAGCCCCGAGTCATCTTCCGGCAACAATGAGGAGAAATCCGGCAGCTCCAGTACGTATAAAGGCAGCGCCCGAGCGCTTTCGGAGAGGGACTTGGAAATGTAGCGCACCGCCGCTGTTAAATTTTTATATGCTGTTTTATAAGCATATAAGGTTTATGAAGGGCCTTTAGATTTCCCCCAACAAAACTTTGTTATAAAAGGCGAGATCACGTGTTTAGTGCTGAAATTGGCCGTGAAATACCCACCGGGCGACGGATGCCTTTAAAAAATTTTCTTTCTCCTTCCTCTTTTTCTTTTTTTTTTTTCTTCTTTTTTTTTTTTTTTTTTTTTTTCGGGAATCGTAATAAAGGGGGGCTCTGCGGTCGGCTCTCGAAAATATAATAACGTGCGTCGGGCGCCTGTAAATTCGGCAGAGAAGGGCGATCCCGGCTCCTTTGATACCGATGTAATCCCGTGATTTTATAAAAGCCATGTGTTGCACCGGGAGCCTAGTTAGGAGCCGCATTCAAAGCCATCGCCGCTTTAACGATTGCGCTCGAGCCGCGTTGAGCAGATAAAGTAGCCGCCTGAACTGTAGCAATATATTAAAAGAAACAAATTAACCTAAAGCTGGCCTTTTTGTCTAAAGGAAGCCATTTTACCCGGGCGCTGTGGCAATTACGCGTTGCCTTCTGTCCAACAGTTTGTTACTTACAATTGTTATTCAATCTGTCAAAGGCTGATTTTTTTATGTGGGCTTTTTAAAAGGCAACGCCAGTATACAGCTCGGGGAAAAATACCTCGACAATGAACTGTACCAGAAAAGGAAGTTTTTAAAGGGGTAGCGGCTAGATTGAATGCAAAGGGCTTCTGAGCCTCGAGCCCTTTTCTATTGCGCTTAATGAACTTTAAAACCGCGGCGGCTAAGCGCGAGGAGAACACCCCGAGATGGTGGCCGAGCGTGCTGGAAAGCTGCCGGCAGAGCGTGCGGCTGCAGCGGGCGCGGGGCTGCGCCGTGCCGGGGCCGCGCGGTCGCTCTCGGCCTCCGGAGCGGGGAACGGAGCTCCGCGGGGTGCCCGGCTGCTGCGGGGGCGGCGGGGGGCGGCCGCTGCCCGATCTCAGCTCGCCCGGCTCCGGCTGAGCCGCCTCCGGGGGCTTCCTCCCTGCCTCTCGCCCCTTCCTCCCGCGGAGCGAGGCCTCAGCCCCGCTTCCCGGCGGGGTTCCGCCCTGCCCGGGGCCGGAGGCGTTCCGGTGGGTCCCGGCTCCCCGCAGCTCTCCGTGCGCTCAGTCCTGCGGCTGCCCAGGGCGGCCGCGGATCGGGCGGAATGAGCGTTGTAGTGTGCCGAGGTGCTTTGCCTCTCTGTTCCCCCCCGGCCCCGCCGTGACAAACCCTTCTGCCTTTTCTCGCTCCACAGGTGGACAACGGACCCGTAAAAAGAGATGCCCCTACACCAAATATCAGATTAGAGAGCTAGAAAGGGAATTCTTCTTCAGTGTCTACATAAACAAAGAGAAACGCCTCCAGCTCTCCCGAATGCTCAATCTGACCGACCGCCAAGTAAAAATATGGTTTCAGAACAGAAGAATGAAAGAAAAAAAAATTAACAGGGACCGATTACAATATTACTCAGCTAATCCACTACTCTAAAACTCGTAGCGTTTTTCAAGACGAGATTAAATTCAGATTTTGCCCTTGACAAGGTCAAGCCACGAGGTTACGTGGAGGAAGGAGGTGTGTATCTGACGGGACTCGAAGAACCCGAGGTTTTCCATACATGTAAATCTGCTCTGGACCTTCCATGACGGTTTATTGTTTTGTCTCTATATTTACGTTCCAACTGGAATCGGTTTGATTTTGCCACACGTGGCGTCCATCCATTTCCACCGCGCGCGTCACCTCCGAGCGCCCGGCCCACGCCTCTCACCTTCCCGCACCGCGTTGGGCAGATCCGGGAGGGGACAGGGCTGTCCCCGTGTCCCGCTGCCCCCTCGGAGCGTGGCGTGGGCACCGGCACCGCGAGCGGCCGCAGCCAGGACGCAAACTTTGGGAAATGATCTCTCGTCCTTCCCGGAAGGAAAATGTCTGTGGTTGAGGCAGTGCGCCATTGCCCATGGGTTTGAGAGGGGAATTAAGGGAGGGGGGAGAGAAGTAAAAGGGGGGAAAGAGGGGGGGTGACATGCCTACACCTTCACGAGTCTGACCACGAGCAGTTGTAACACGGATGTAGGATGGGTACAATAGTGTTTCCTTTGGGGTAGGAGGAAGCGGGGATGGGGGTGGGAAGAGAAAGAAATGAAAGACTGAAATATTTACTTTAAAAAAGAAAAATCAGGTATAAATTTGCCATACATCGCAAAGAAACAATCACTGAAAAGAAAAAGGAAAAAAGCAAACAAAACAAAACAAAGCAAAGATTTCTCAAATTATAACTAGCACTCATTTTATTTATGGCAACGGCCTGTGCGTTGCCATCTTTTCGGAGACAAATCATATTAAAATGCTAAAAATAAACCATTTTTTAAAAAGCGTGAATTTCAGCGTTTTAAAAGAAAAAGAAAAAAAATACTGAGAGGAAACTGACCTTCTGGCTTCTGGCTCGCAAACTTTCTTCAGGAAATACCTGTGGAGAACGACAGTTTAGCAAATACCACACAACACTTAATTGAAACTTGGAGTTGTGCAATGCGCTAACGTTGGATCATTAAAATAACTCAATTGCATGCTCTTGTAAAGGTGACCAGTGAGGAGTTTAATCAGAAGCCAAACAGTGTAAATACGGTCATTTTGTTGTCGTCTACTTTAAATGTCACGAGCTCTACTTTGTCGCCCAGCCGACGGATGCAAAGAACGGAGAGTCGTTCGGAGTTATTTTAAGTATCTATAAATATATATATTTCCCTGCAGGAACCAAAGCGTGAAAAAAAAGAAAAGAAAAGAAAAAGAAAAAGAAAAAAAAAAAAAAAAAAAAAAAAAAAAGCGATTTTAAAAAGAAAAAGAGGGAAAAAAAGGAAAATATTTAAAATTCTATATCGGTTTACAAAGGCTACGGAGTTCTATCGTTAAGGTAATTTGCTGATGAGAATATCTGAATGTATATTTCATACAGGAGCGATGTTTTACAAGACTTGTAAATAATAAAAAAGAGGAACCCATGACCTATTTTATTCGAACGCCTTTTTTTTTTTTCCTCATTTTTTTTTCTCCTATGGGGCTGAAGGGTGTGGGGTTTCTTTACATGTGCAACAAAGTGGTGATAAGGAAGTTTTTTGATGAGTAAATTTACCAAATGGATGTAAGTTCTTTGTCACGGTTCACCAAACGCAGTATCTTTATATGCCATCACTGTTTTCCATATGTATCGACTATGTGTATATACCGTTTTCTTTTAATATCTGAAAGTACTTGGTTGCATGTATACAGTGGAACAGCGCACAAGGCAAATAAAAACAATGGAAACTTTCTCTTTTTCATTCTGGCGTCGCGTTCCTGCATGTCGCTTTGCCTGATGTGGCTTTGGCACCCGAAATTCCTCATGACCTTGTGGGGTCATTTGGGGAGAAACGATTGTCCTTTTGTAGAGCTCGGCTGTTAAGTCTTCAGCCTTGGTGTGGCCAAGCAGACGTGGTCTGGTTAGGAAAGGAAGGTGGAGAAGGCTCCTCGTTAGGCCGTGTCCTTGTCCTGTGGGGTGAGGTCCCTTGTCACACCGGCATGTGACACCGCAGTGTGCTCCGCCACGTGTGGCAGCGTAAGAGGTGCTGGGAGTGCTTGAGACTCATTTTAGAGACCCGTCCCTAAAGAAAAGGGACAGACGAGCCCTCTGTGGATGGAGGGCTCAGGACGATGAGGGCCCTAAGAAAACCATTGCCTCCTTCGAGAAAAAACGCGCCTGGCAGCGCGGTGGAAATGGGCCGGCTGGGGTTGTCCTTGATCTCCAGGGCAGGGAGGGGTGGGATGGGGCGGGGGGAGGGCTGCAGGCAGAAAATAGATGGGAGGGAGGACCAAACCAAAACAATGGCTGGGATGGGAACGTGTTTTGGGAAGAGCAGCCGAATGTTGAGTGTTGACCCCGGTCCTGATCGGGAGAAGAAAGTACATTCTGTTTTCACATTGTTTGCTGGCTTTGAACTTCTGTATTGCTTGGACATCACCCATAACCTTGAGGTGAAGCACTCCCACTGACGCGGGCCTTGCTGACAACCACCGCCGGCCAGACAGCGCCTCGGCGGAGGGAGCGCTGAAAAACGAAGGGAAAGGAGGCTCTGGTGTTTGTTTGTTTGTTTGTTCGTCTGTCTGTCCGCGGGGAAGGCGAGCCGAGAGGGGACGGACGGACGGACGGGCGGCAGGCAGGGAGAGAGGGACGGATGGGGAGCGGACGGGCAATGAAAGTTTAGAGAGAAAGCTTCCTTTCCCTGTTAAAAATTAACTGGCATTCACGGCCAATCCCAGAGACAGTTAAACTACGGAGTTTCTCCGCTCGGGGTTTGATTTCCTAGCCCAATAAAATCGCATCCTCTGTGTTGCTGTGACAATGCGGCCATAAAAAGTGTCCGTGACTTGTCCGCTCGCAGAGGCGGAATGCACCGCTATAAAGGCGGCGGCTGCCGCGCCGGGCGGAGCGGGAGGTGAGCGGCCGGCGGCCCGCGGCGGGGCCCGGGGCTGCGCGGGACGGCGCGGCCGCCAGATGGCGATCGTCAGATCAATGTCAAAGCCGCCGGCCGAGGAGAGCAGCCCGGCGGAATCTTGGCCTTTGTTCACTTCGCGGCCGCACGCTCAATTAGCGCGAGGGACCCGACGGAGGTCGGGCCGCGGGGCTCCGGCGTAGGCGATGCGCGGAGGTAAGTGCTCTGTGCGTGCCCCGCGGCCAGAGGGGACGGCGGATGCGGTGCCAACGCGGGGCGCGGGGAGGGCCGGCCTCGGCACCGGCAGTGGAAGCGGAGCTCGAAAGTTGGTGATTAAAGTGGTGAATGAACGTCGCAGGGGCTTTCTGAGGCGCTGCTGACCTTTTTCTGTTTCTTGGTAAAGTTTTGGCCGGCAGTGTGGAAAATCCACGGTATCTGGAAATACTTCTTTTTGCAGAGAAACTCGTAGATTTCTTCCAGTTATAAAAATTGTAGCGCTGGAAATATTATGAAACTTGACATTTATGTGGGGAACAGTAGGTGTCTTCAATCAACTAGATCTATGGCAACCCAGACTACAAATGACAGACAATTCTGACGATCTTATTGGACTTGAACTGTAGTTTAGTTAGGGTCGCTTGGTAACTTAAAAGGAGAGCCTTCTTCCTCGCAGCTGGATGCAGCCTGTGGTAAACAAGTTTTGACACACTTATGCTCAAAACTAAGCATGCTGTTGCACGTTAAGTCAGCACGCATGAAGGACCAGATTGCCGGCCGTCCACCCATCCATCCATCCATCCATCCATCCATCCATCCATCCATCCATCCATCCATCCACCTATCTATCTGTCCATCTATCTATCCAAGCTAGAACATGGGCCGTAAACAACCAGCAGTCTCACATTCTCATGTGCTCAGGGCTGCTCGGGGTTGTAGCTTTGAAACTCTATCCCGGCTATGAGTATCTCTAACTCCAGGTTACTTTTCTCGCCCATAAAAGTTTCACATGTTTTTGTTATGTCTCCATTTGAGAAGGGGCGGGGGGGGCAGGGGGAGAGGAAATGCGGTATTGTATGGAGATACTGGTTTGGCTACATATTTCAGCCCGCTTGTATATTAACAGAGGGCATACTCTATTTAAATAGCTATCTCAGGGAAAAAAAAATAATTGTGTTTTCTTTGCTCCCCCAAGAGTCTTTGTATGTAAACTAATGCGAGTTGCCTCTATTTTAAAGACAGCGGCCTTTAAAACAGTGCTCCTGGGGAGCTGTTGCAAGCCTAGTTAAAAGCACATGTTGAGCCGGCAGAGAGCATTTCTCAGATGATTATCGGAACCTATCGATTTCATCAAAGATGCTCCATTAAAAGCTCGGGACCCGATCTCTTCTGACCTCCCCTCGGAAACGTCGGGCTCTAAGAAGTCACGTCCCGAGGAGGAGCGGGGCAGTCGCTGAGGGTCCCTTTGAAACGTTTCATTTTACACCAGCCGAGTTAAACTCAGCATATTTGATCAAATATTTATTTTTCCCCTTGTTGTTTCCCTGCTGCATTCAATACTCCGCTGAATAAATCAAAGGGACCCCAGCAGCAGTTAAAGCGCCCTCTGGTTACGAATTGTTTACTGACGGCCGCGGTCATAGGATAATATTTAAAAAAAACAAGCTCGTTTCTTACAATAACTGTTTATTATTTCACATGATTTGGGTTTGCGTGTTTCGGATGGAAGAGGCGAAGCCAACTCAGTGTCTACACTGTGTTTAATTAATCGTGTACTCGACTTCAGTGCACATACCACATCCAAACCCCTGGGAGGCTTTTTCATGAGCTCTTTGGGTTTGTGTTTTGTCGCCGTCTTTTTTTTTTTTTTGTGTGTGTGTGTGTGTGTCATAATCTTTTCATTAAACGCCCCGAATCAAAGCGTCGGGCCAACGTGTGTGTGTGTGAGCGCTGCACTGCAAGCAGAAAGATATTTGTATGAGCACCCAGATCTTATGGGCAGTTACAAAAAGGGGAGAGGGGATACAGTTTCAAACGCTCCGTTACAGCTGCGCGGCCCATCTCTCTCAATAAAAAGGGTGCACTTAAAAAGGCGGATTTGTATGTTTACGGTTCTACCGACGGCCGCATAACCCGATACCGCTGGTACTTCCTCGCGGTGTTGGGGCTCAGCAGACAATAGGACCCCCTTGTTCGGAGCGGGGCCGGGGAATGGCGATGGGATGGAGCCGGAATGAATCGGTCGGGGCGCGTTTTGTTCCACCGCACGCCAGAATTCGGAGCTCGTCAGACTCATTCGCAAAATATGTTCCTAATCCAAACGAGTAAACCGATCCGCGCAGCCGCCGAAATATATTTAGGAAAACGAGCCCCCGGATGGCGGAATAAAATTGAATCTCACCCTCATTTTTAACAGCATAATCCGCCACAACAAGCCAAGCCTCCCCCTCCCCCTCGCCCACCCCAACCCTCAGCGTGAAAGTATTTCTAGGCAAGATAAAATTAG